CTTTCTTATTTAATAATGACCTAATGGAAACTATTGTTGTTTGTGTTCAAATCGACCCATTCCTAGACATTGACCATCGACACCTAGTGCTCCTCAAATAAACCTAATATTTATTCTTTTATCTACACATTAGAGAACTTCATATAAACCTAATATTTATTCTTTCATCTACACATTAGAGAATTTCATATAAACCTAATATTTATTCTTTCATCTACACATTTGAGCACTTCATGTGAAGCTAACATTTATTTTTTCATTTACACATTTGAGCACTTCATGTGAAGCCAAGATTTATTCTTTCATTTACACATTTGAGCACTTCATGTGAAGCCAACATGTATTCTTCCATCTACACATCTGAGCACTTCATGTGAAGCTAATATTTATTTTTCCATTTACACATTTTAGCACTTCATGTGAAGCAAACATTTATTCTTCAATCAACACATTAGAGCATTGGATATAAACCTAACATTTATTCTTCTATCTACACATTACAGCATTTCATATAAACCCAACATTTATTCTTCCATCTACACATTAGAACACTAGATATAAACCTAACATTTATTCTTCCATCTACACATCTGAGCACTTCATGTGAAGCTAACATTTATTCTTCCATCTACACATTAGAGCACTAGATATAAACCTAACATTTATTCTTCCTTCTACACATTAAAGCATTTTGAAGCTAAAATGTATTCTTACATCTACACATCAGAGAACCTCATTAGAAGCTAACAAACACTTATTCTTTTATCTACAAATTACAGCACTTCATATAAAGCTAAAATGTATTCTTACATCTACACATCAGAGAACCTCATTAGAAGCTAACAAACACTTATTCTTTTATCTACACATTACAGCACTTCATATAAAGCTGAAATGTATTTTTCAAAAGAAGCCGGTCTTGATTTATAAACGACCTTGGTTCCTAGATTGAATAAGCTCTAAATGGGTTTGAGGTAAGTCCTGGGAAGTTAAGGTGGCTGGCAGAATGTTGACCATATCATCCACATAGTTCTGATTGGTCTATGAAACATAAGTCTAGCCCTATATGCCCAATTCACTTGAAGGTGCGGAAAAGGATCCTATACTTTTTTCCACGTAAACATACTTCATTAAAAGCTAACATTTATTCTCCAGTACGGCAACACTTCCTGTGACATTCCAGTGCTTGGAAGACAAGCTGCACATAGACAAGCGAGTCACGCGCTTTGTGCTGCCAATCGGCGCCACGATAAACATGGACGGAACCGCTCTCTATGAAGCTGTGGCTCCCATATTCATAGCACAGATGAACGGCATGGAGCTAACCTTCGGCAAAATAGTTGCTATCAGGTGAGCATGTTTAAAGTTGCTATCAGGTGAACATGTTTATAGTTTGCTATCAGGTGAGCATGTTTATAGTTGCTATCAGGTGAGCATGTTTATAGTTGCTATCAGGTGAACATGTTTATAGTTGCTATCAGGTGAACATGTTTATAGTTGCTATCAGGTGAACATGTTTATAGTTGCTATCAGGTGAACATGTTTATAGTTGCTATCAGGTGAACATGTTTATAGCTGCTATCAGGTGAGCATGTTTATAGTTGCTATCAGGTGAGCATGTTTATAGCTGCTATCAGGTGAGCATGTTTATAGTTGCTATCAGGTGAGCATGTTTATAGTTGCTATCAGGTGAGCATGTTTATAGTTGCTATCAGGTGAGCATGTTTATAGCTGCTATCAGGTGAGCATGTTTATAGTTGCTATCAGTTTAGCATGTTTATAGTTGCTATCAGGTGAGCATGTTTATAGTTGCTATCAGGTGGGCATGTTTATAATTGCTATCAGGTGAGCATGTTTATAGTTGCTATCAGGTGAACATGTTTATAGTTGTTATCAGGTGAACATATTTATAGTTGCTATCAGGTGAACATGTTTATAGTTGCTATCAGGTGAACATGTTTATAGTTGCTATCAGGTGAACATGTTTATAGTTGCTATCAGGTGAACATGTTTATAGTTGCTATCAGGTGAACATGTTAATAGTTGCTATCAGGTGAACATGTTTATAGCTGCTATCAGGTGAGCATGTTTATAGTTGCTATCAGGTGAGCATGTTTATAGCTGCTATCAGGTGAGCATGTTTATAGTTGCTATCAGGTAAGCATGTTTGTAGTTGCAATCAGGTGAGCATGTTTATAGTGCTATCAGGTGAACATGTTTATAGTTGCTATCAGGTGAACATGTTTATAGTTGCCATCAGGTGAACATGTTTATAGTTGCTATCAGGTAAGCATGTTTGTAGTTGCAATCAGGTGAGCATGTTTTTAGTGCTATCAGGTGAGCATGTTTATAGTTGCTATCAGGTGAACATGTTTATAGTTGCTATCAGGTGAGCATGTTTATAGTTGCTATCAGGTGAGCATGTTTATAGTTGCTATCAGGTGAACATGTTTATAGTTGTTATCAGGTGAACATATTTATAGTTGCTATCAGGTGAACATGTTTATAGTTGCTATCAGGTGAACATGTTTATAGTTGCTATCAGGTGAACATGTTTATAGCTGCTATCAGGTGAACATGTTTATAGTTGTTATCAGGTGAACATATTTATAGTTGCTATCAGGTGAACATGTTTATAGTTGCTATCAGGTGAACATGTTTATAGTTGCTATCAGGTGAACATGTTTATAGTTGCTATCAGGTGAACATGTTTATAGTTGCTATCAGGTGAACATGTTAATAGTTGCTATCAGGTGAACATGTTTATAGCTGCTATCAGGTGAGCATGTTTATAGTTGCTATCAGGTGAGCATGTTTATAGCTGCTATCAGGTGAGCATGTTTATAGTTGCTATCAGGTAAGCATGTTTGTAGTTGCAATCAGGTGAGCATGTTTATAGTGCTATCAGGTGAACATGTTTATAGTTGCTATCAGGTGAACTTGTTTATAGTTGCCATCAGGTGAACATGTTTATAGTTGCTATCAGGTAAGCATGTTTGTAGTTGCAATCAGGTGAGCATGTTTTTAGTGCTATCAGGTGAGCATGTTTATAGTTGCTATCAGGTGAACATGTTTATAGTTGCTATCAGGTGAGCATGTTTATAGTTGCTATCAGGTGAGCATGTTTATAGTTGCTATCAGGTGAACATGTTTATAGTTGTTATCAGGTGAACATATTTATAGTTGCTATCAGGTGAACATGTTTATAGCTGCTATCAGGTGAGCATGTTTATAGTTGCTATCAGGTGAGCATGTTTATAGCTGCTATCAGGTGAGCATGTTTATAGTTGCTATCAGGTAAGCATGTTTGTAGTTGCAATCAGGTGAGCATGTTTATAGTGCTATCAGGTGAACATGTTTATAGTTGCTATCAGGTGAACATGTTTATAGTTGCCATCAGGTGAACATGTTTATAGTTGCTATCAGGTAAGCATGTTTGTAGTTGCAATCAGGTGAGCATGTTTTTAGTGCTATCAGGTGAGCATGTTTATAGTTGCTATCAGGTGAACATGTTTATAGTTGCTATCAGGTGAGCATGTTTATAGTTGCTATCAGGTGAGTATGTTTATAGTTGCTATCAGATGAACATGTTTATAGTTGCTATCAGGTGAACATGTTTATAGTTGCTATCAGGTGAGCATGTTTATAGTTGCTATCAGGTGAACATGTTTATAGTTGCTATCAGGTGAACATGTTTATAGCTGCTGAGAAGCACACAATTAAACTCTTCTTCAAAAGATTATTAGCTAAACTCTTAACAGCGAATTTTAGATTACATCATTATCAATCAGCAGGTTCGTTACTGAATGTGACCTTTTTCATGGAAAGTCTCTATTTCTCTAGCCAATTCTCCAACCCTATGCGCTGTCATATTCAATGTCTCTCTAGTGTCTTGGTATCCACCTTCACAAAGGTCAGCCTCTGCCTCATTTTCTGCAAACTGCACATTTAATCACGAATTTTGATCTATTTTTCATAGATTTCTAATCCTTACTTTTGTTGTTGGACCCTTCCCGTTTCTCCAGACGATCATGTTCCATTGTGCTGTTGGGAAGTATGGGACCCACAGGCCATGGTGACCTAAGCCATAAATGAAATTCTTCCACTCAATAACACACAGCCTGAGTGCCAGAACGCCTGATTGCTTGAATGCCTGAGTGCCAGAACGCCTGATTGCTTGAATGCCTGAGTGCCAGAACGCCTGATTGCTTGAATGCCTGAGTGCCGGAACGCCTGATTGCTTGAATGCCTGAGTGCCGGAACGCCTGATTGCTTGAATGCCTGAGTGCCGGAACGCCTGATTGCTTGAATGCCTGAGTGCCGGAACGCCTGATTGCTTGAATGCCTGAGTGCCGGAACGCCTGATTGCCTCAGTGTCTGAGCGCCTGAGTGCCTGAGGGACTGGATTTAGGCATAAGCTAACTAAGCTACACGTGAGAATCTAAAAATCACATATCAATTTCATGTTAGTGCCAGGACACACAGGAGTGTAAAGGAAATAAGCAAGCTGATTATCCTGCAGGTAAAGCTACTGTAGAGAGTGGACAAGCCATGGACAATGCTGATATTCTGAATACTCTGTGAGAAGTGAGACGTTTGCGAGAACCACGAGATGATTGTGAATCTGCAACCATGACCAGACTGCAAGAACAAAATGTTAAAAGGTGTGTGGTCAGAAAAGAGTACTATGCAGGAAGCCAAAGAAGAATAAGAAAGCAACACAGAACTGGTGTCGTGAGCTGATGAAATCCTGCAAAGAGAATAAAACTGAAATAACATTAGAATTTAAAAAAAAAACATAGGTTGGTTTTAAAACTTTACTATTTAATTCCAAATTTTGTTCAGTCTTTTTAGAACTGCTGATAACTTTCCATTGTGAGGTTTTTAATATGGCTTATATATTGTTCTTGTCTATTTCCTTCAGCAATTCTCTTTTCATACCTAGTCTCTTCAGAACCTTTTTATTTGATTATCAAACAACGCTATGTTTGACTTTACAGTTTGACAGCCACATGTGCTAGCATTGGGGCAGCAGCCATCCCAAGTGCTGGCTTGGTTACCATGGTGATGGTATTAACCTCTGTGGGACTTCCAGCAGACGACATAAGTCTGATTCTGGCTGTTGATTGGTTCCTGTAAGTATATCTATCTATATATTGTATTCGGTTGTGTCTTGTGATTTTTTTTTTATGTGGTCTTCTAGTAATTTCCCCTGGTCTCTGGGTAGTAAGATTGGACGCCCAGGTGTATTTTTGCACACGTAAAAAAATCCTTTCGCAGTTGGAAATTGAAAAAGAGTAGCATAATGGCACTGCCCAGGCAAAATTTGTGGTTAAAAATCTACCCAAATGTATTTCAGAATCCTTACAGGTGCTACGGAGCTTGTGCACTGCACTGGGATTCTTCAGACCCACCTTTGAGTCAGAAGTAGAACGGAGCACTGGATTACTACCCATATTTTCTTTTCATAAGTTTTAAAAAGCTTGGGGACAGCCCATATCAACACATACACCCACATCTTCAGGGCCTCAAACTTAGAAGTATTGACTAAATGTATCGTTGAACAATTATGATCCCTAAACAGCAAGCTGCAGTTTCACCTTCACAACAAACAGGTCTATAGATGTTCTGGTCCTGTGCAAACGAAAATCACACAGAATGTTGATCATTGTCCCTAGTGAAAATAAAATAAAAAATAACACACACACTGCAATCTCCACAAAGCCAATAGCATATACAGGCATTTAATGCATAAGGCAGTCAAAAGAAGGGCCAACACAAATTAAAGCCACAGTTCATCATCAATGAAGCAGCACTTACAATATATAAGTAGTTGTACATGCAATTAATTGTATAAGGCAGCATCAGTTCTTTGGCAATAGGCTACTCACCATTTTCTGAATTTGCAGTTCACACAGGAAACATGTTCAGTACAGTCAAAAAAAGCATTTCAAATTAAATATGCAGCTCACAGTGTTACACAATACACTTAACTTCTTTCTTCTTCTTGTTCACCGGCTGTGAATTCCGGCGGTAAGTCACGGTTGTTCGTCCAAAATGGACTTTTGGCTTTTACCTTGACCTGAGTTTTGCGTGTACATCCGTTTTACTGGCTTATTTGTTTGCAGTACTCGTTCCCCGCCTCTCCGGCAGATGTACTCCGACTTCGGAGGAATACACTTAACTCAGTAGCAAGGCTACAGAACTATATCCTTTCAGTTTACATATTTACTGGACTCGTCATCCCCTTGTGGGATGCAATTTTGAGTTATTTTGAAGCCCCACCCTGGCTTTTGCCGTAGGCCCTAAATATAGCTGGGCCTTAAATATGGCCTAACAGCTGAACGGGGTTTCCGGGACCTCTCCACAGATGATCCTCATCTGCATGCTAGCACTTTGTGTCACCTGGTGTTTATCGCTTGTGTGATGTCCTGGTGGGGTACAACCTACCTATCTACAAATCTACGTGAACCATATGGACTGAAAGTCTCTCATTTATAATGTGTTGTTTATCTTTATTTCTTCATCATATTGACTGAAAGTCTCTCATTTATAATGTGTTGTTTATCATTATTTCTTCATCATATTGACTACAAGCCTCTAAATTATAATGTGTTGTTTATCTTCATTATATTGACTGAAAGTCTCTAATTTATAATGTGTTGTTTATCTTCATTTCTTCACCATATTGACTGAAAGTCTATAATTTATAATGTGTTGTTTATCTTCATTTCTTGACCATATTGACTGAAAGTCTATAATTTATAAATGTTGTTTATCTTCACTTCTCCACCTTATTTACTGAAAGTCTATAATTTATAATGTGTTCTTTATCTTCATTTCTCCACCATATTGACTGAAAGTCTCTAATTTATAATGTGTTGTTTATCTTCACTTCTCCACCATATTTACTGAAAGTCTATAATTTATAATGTGTTGTTAATCTTCAAGTCTTCACCATTACCAGTGCACTCTAAGCACAGATGACAACGGAGAAGAGTTGGGTGTCAGCCCGTTCCTTCACCCTGTATAAAGGAAATTTGCGATAGAAATTAGACGAATGATGAATTCAAGAAAGGTAAAGAAGTAAAAGAAATGACTGAACAACCAGTGGTATCAACAGTTATTGGAAGGAAAAAAAATGGCAATATATTGGGCACAGCATGAAGAGAAGTTGACAGTAAATTGCTAAACAGGCACTGAAATGGCAAACAACTTGATTCATGAAATGAAGGTGTCCAATAGAAACCCTAAAATGAATATTACTGAGAGAAGCCAAAGGTGCTGGACTTGATTCTGTCTGAAAAATGTAAATGATTACCCGGATAGAACAAAATGGAGGACTGGACTACAAGCTCTTTGTGACATTTAACGACATCAGTCGTTTCACACTTGTGGAGCTTTTGAAGAGGAGATCGGAGCACCTATGGATCTGTCCGGAGTGCTGTGATGATAATCCTTTCTAATCACTAATCACCTCTAAAGACATTATGATGATGATGTTTGTCCCTAGATGTCATTGACCACGTTTGTGATTATTACTACTTCTCCACAATCTTCATACACTTTCAGGTGTCAGCCTTAATATGCTGAAATCAAACCGGCAGTCAACTTGAGCTTGTTGACATCTCCACAGAGTTTGTCCTCAAAAGTTTCCAGTCTGGTTCTGGCACTTTCAGTCTAATTCTTACACTTCAAGTCTGGTTCTGGCACTTCCACTCTGGTTCTGGCACTTTCACTTTTGTTCTGGAACTTCCCTTCTGGTTCTGGCACTTCTACTCTGGTTCTGGAACTTCCACTCTGGTTCTGGCACTTCCAGTCTGGTTCTGGCACTTCGGCTCTGGTTCTGGCACTTCGGCTCTGGTTGTGGCACTTCCAGTCTGGTTCTGGCACTTCCAGTCTGGTTCTGGCACTTCTACTCTGGTTCTGGCACTTCCAGTCTGGTTCTGACACTTCTACTTTGGTTCTGGAACTTACAGTCTGGTTCTGGCACTTCCAATCTGGTTCTGACACTTCCACTTTGGTTCTGGCACTTCCACTCTGGTTCTGGCACTTCCAGTCTGGTTCTGGCACTTCCAGTCTGGTTCTGGCACTTCCAGTCTGGTTCTGGCACTTCTACTCTGGTTCTGGCACTTCCAGTCTGGTTCTGGCACTTCCAGTCTGGTTCTGAAACTTCCAGTCTGGTTCTGGCACTTCCACTCTGGTTCCTGCACTTCCACTCTGGTTCTGGCACTTCCACTCTGGTTCTGGCACTTCCAGTCTGGTTCTGGCACTTCCAGTCTGGTTCTGGCACTTCCAGTCTGGTTCTGGCACTTCTACTCTGGTTCTGGCACTTCCAGTCTGGTTCTGGCACTTCCACTCTGGTTCTGCAACTTCCAGTCTGGTTCTGGCACTTCCACTCTGGTTCCTGCACTTCCACTCTGGTTCTGGCACTTCCACTCTGGTTCCGGCACCCCATTGGAAGGGTGGGGGGGGGTGGAGAAAGAACAGTCCTACTGCCCCCCCTAACAAAGATGTCATAACAGATGATTAATTATGGATGTTTTCTTTAAAGCCAGAGTGCATCTGCCTGATAAATAAGAAATCAACAGTCTGCATACAAATAAGCCAGACTGCTAAAATGGATAGGTACATAAAACTCAAGATCTGGAACAAGACCAAAGTCCAGAAGTGGACGAACAACCAGGACTTTCTGCCAGAGTTTACAGCCGGTGAAAACAAAGAAGAAGTCCCAAAAAGATGATGGCAATTGTTCTCTAATTATTGCTATTTCAACCATCATCTGTTATTTGTCCAAACAACTTCAACAAACACAATGTCTGATATGTTCCAGGGATCGTTTCCGCACAGCCACTAATGTTCCTTGGTGACAGCTTTGGTGCATGTGTTGTGGAGCATTTGTCTCGGCATGAGCTCCAAGCAGATCATCATCTACCCATTGATGACGCAACAGAATTTGACAGCCATGAAAACGGGAAGAGGAAATCTCTGACAAACAGCATAAAGAGAGGAGTTATTGAAGACGAGCTATAGATACTTTATGTTTATTAGTTTCATCTCTCTTGTTGTGGTATTCAATGACCAGATTTTACTTTGTTTTATGACATATGTCTGGCTGCTTTTATAGTGAGTGATACATCACTAGCTATAATTGATGATATTGTTAACTCATGTTCTCCCAAGATGAAGTTCAGTTTTAACTTGCACTATACACATGGTGTTCTATACACATGGTGTTCTATACACATGGTGTTCTGTACACATGGTGTTCTATACACATGGTGTCCTATACACATGGTGTCCTATACACATGGTGTTCTGTACACATGGTGTTCTATACACATGGTGTCCTATACACATGGTGTTCTGTACACATGGTGTTCTATACACATGGTGTTCTGTACACATGGTGTTCTGTACACATGGTGTTCTATACACATGGTGTTCTATACACATGGTGTTCTGTACACATGGTGTTCTATACACATGGTGTTCTATACACATGGTGTTCTGTACACATGGTGTTCTATACACATGGTGTTCTATACACATGGTGTTCTATACACATGGTGTTCTGTACACATGGTGTTCTATACACATGGTGTTCTATACACATGGTGATCTATACACATGGTGATCTATACACATGGTGATCTATACACATGGTGATCTATACACATGGTGTTCTATACACATGGTGTTCTATACACATGGTGTTCTATACACATGGTGATCTATACAATGGTGTCCTATACACATGGTGTCCTGTACACATGGTGTCCTATACACATGGTGTTCTATACACATGGTGTCCTATACACATGGTGTCCTATACACATGGTGTTCTATACACATGGTGTTCTATACACATGGTGTTCTATACACATGGTGATCTATACACATGGTGATCTATACACATGGTGATCTATACACATGGTGTTCTATACACATGGTGTTCTATACACATGGTGATCTATACACATGGTGATCTATACACATGGTGTCCTATACACATGGTGTCCTATACACATGGTGTTCTATACACATGGTGTTCTATACACATGGTGATCTATACACATGGTGTCCTATACACATGGTGTCCTATACACATGGTGTTCTATACACATGGTGTTCTATACACATGGTGATCTATACACATGGTGTTCTATACACATGGTGTTCTATACACATGGTGTTCTATACACATGGTGATCTATACACATGGTGTTCTATACACATGGTGTTCCTATACACATGGTGTTCTATACACATGGTGTTCTATACACATGGTGTTCTATACACATGGTGTTCTATACACATGGTGTCCTATACACATGGTGTCCTATACACATGGTGTCCTATACACATGGTGTTCTATACACATGGTGTTCTATACACATGGTGTCCTATACACATGGTGTCCTATACACATGGTGTTCTATACACATGGTGTTCTATACACATGGTGTTCTGTACACATGGTGTTCTGTACACATGGTGTTCTATACACATGGTGTCCTATACACATGGTGATCAATACACATGGTGTTCTATACAATGGTGTTCTGTTAGGGTGACCATACATCCCATTTTCACCAGGACAGTCCTAATTTTTCAGTGTGTCCCGGCTGTCCCGAAAATACTCCCAAAAAGTGCCGATTGTCCCATTATATGTGAGCCTAGGAACAAGCTCGAGAAGAAAACATATACTTACAGTTAAATCTGTAGACCATGTTAGATTTCATAACTTTAGATAATTAAAGGCCTAAAATGTGTTGATCAGAATTTAGATTATTGTATATATTTTCATTGCTGTTAAAAAGCCTATTGTTTTGTTTATTTTTTGGTTGCTGTAGTTAGTGTTTTAATACCATTGTTGGTCAAGTATTCAACCATTTCACCTCCTCTCTGGAGTGACCTAGGGAGAGGGGGAAGCGGGGGTGAAATGACTGGCTTGGGATGTCCCATTTTATTCTATACACATGGTGTTCTAAAAATGTTCTATATGCTGTTCTGTCACATGCTGTTCTATAAATGCATTCCTGTACCAGTGTTCTGTACAACATACAACATGTTCTGTACAAACAGTGTTCTGTACACATATGGTGTTTCTGTACAACATATACCAGTGTTCTGTACACATACACCAGTGTTCTGTACAACATACACCAGTGTTCTGTACAACATATACCAGTGTTCTGTACACATGAGTGTTCTTTACAACATATACCAGTGTTCTGTACAACATATACCAGTGTTCTGTACAACATACACCAGTGTTCTGTACAACATGGTGTTCCATATGTTGGTGTGTACAACATACACCAGTGTTCTGTACAACATACACCAGTGTTCTGTACAACATATTGTTCTGTTCTGGTACAACATATACCAGTGTTCTGTACAACATACACCAGTGTTCTATACACATGGTGTTCTGTACACATGGTGCTCTACATACACCAGTGTTCTGTACACAACATCTACCAGTGTTCTGTACAACACACATGGTGTTCTATACACATATACCAGTGTTCTGTACAACATACACCAGTGTTCTCTATACACATGGTCTGTCTACATACACCAGTGTTCTATACATACATACACATGGTGTTCTGTACAACATTCTACCAGTGTGTACAACTATACCACATGGTTCTCTATACACCAGTGTTCTGTACACATGGTGTTCTATACACATGGTGTTCTGTACACATCTGTACAACATACACCAGTGCTGTTACACATGGTGTTCTGTACAACATACACATGGTGTTCTGTACAACATATGGTGTTCTGTACACATACACCAGTGTTCTGTACAACATACACCAGTGTTCTGTACACACCAGTGTTCTGTACAACATATGGTGTTCTGTACACATGGTGCTCTATACACATGGTACAACATATACACCAGTGTGTGTCAACATACACCAGTGTTCTGTACACATGGTGTTCTGTCTATACACAGTGTTCTCTATACACATGGTGTTCTGTACACATGGTGTTCTGTACAACACATGGTGTTCTGTACACATGGTGTTCTATACACATGGTGTTCTGTACACATGGTGTTCTGTACAACATGGTGTTCTGTACACATGGTGTTCTGTACACATACCAGTGTTCTGTACACATGGTGTTCTGTACAACATACACAGTGTTCTCTATACACATGGTGTTCTATACACATGGTGTTCTGTACAACACATACCCAGTGTTCTGTACAACATACACAGTGGTTCTGTACAATACACACCAGTGTTCTGTACAACACATATACCAGTGTTCTGTACACACATGTTCTATACCAGTGTTCTCTGTACACATGGTGTTCTATACAACATGGTGTTCTATACCATGGTGTTCTGTACACACATATACACATGGTGCTTCTATACACATGGTGTTCTGTACACACATACACCAGTGTTCTGTACAACATATACCATGTGTTCTATACACATGGTGTTCTATACACATGGTGTTCTATACACAGTGTTCTGTACAACATATGGTGTTCTGTACACATATACCAGTGTTCTGTACATATACCAGTGTTCTGTACACATGGTGTTCTGTACACATGGTGATCTATACACCAGTGTTCTGTACACATACACCAGTGTTACTATGGTGTTCTATACACATGGTGTTCTTACACACATACACATGGTGATCAGTGTTCTGTACAACATACACATGGTGTTCTATACACATGTACAACATACACCAGTGTTCTGTACACACATGATCTATACACATGGTGTTCTGTACACATGGTGTTCCTATATACACATGGTCTGTACAACATACACCAGTGTTCTATACAACATGGTGTTCTATACACATGGTGTTTCTATACACATGTTCTGTACTATACACAGTGTGATCACATACACATGGTGTTCAACATACACCAGTGTTCTGTTAGGGTGACCATACACCAGTTCTATACAATGGTGTTCTGTACAACATATACCAATTTTTCAGTGTATCCCAGTGTACCGGCTATACCAGTGTTCTGTACAACAAGTACCAATTGTCCCATTATATGTGACAACATATACCAGTGTTCTGAGAAGAAAACATATACTTACAGTTAAGTGTTCTGTACAACATATACCAGTGTTCTGTACAACATACACCAGTGTTCTGTACAACATAAATTGTGTTGATCAGAGTATACCAGTTTAGACCAGTGTTCTGTACAACATATTTCAGTGTGCTGTACAAAAGCCCAGTGTTTTCATTGTACAACATTACCAGTGTTGCTGTACAACATACACCAGTGTTCTGTACAACATATTGTTGGTCAAGTGTTCTGTACAACATTCACCTCCTCTCTGTACAACATGACCTAAGGAGAGGGGGTGTTCTGTACAAAATACACCATGTTCTGTCCCGTTTTCAGCTCAAAATGTTGTGGTCACCCTATGTTCTATAAAACATATACCAGTGTTCAATACAACATATACCAGTCTTCTGTACAATATATATCTGTTTTGTACAACATATACCAGTGTTCTGTACAACATATACCAGTGTTCTGTACAACATACACCAGTGTTCTGTACAACATATACCAGTGTTCTGTACAACATATACCAGTGTTCTGTACAACATATACCAGTGTTCTGTACAACATATACCAGTGTTCTGTACAACATATACCAGTGTTCTGTACAACATATATCAGTGTTCTGTACAACATATACCAGTGTTATGTACAACATATACCAGTGTTCTGTACAACATATACCAGTGTTATGTACAACATATACCAGTGTTCTGTACAACATATACCAGTGTTCTGTACAACATATACCAGTGTTCTGTACAACATATACCAGTGTTCTGTACA